GTCATTATTTAACTTCTCAACTTGCTCAGAACCTAGACAGACAAGAGGGTCACTATTTGTTCCCTTGGAGACCGCCTGAGGAGTTTAGAAATAAGAACAAAGTGTGAGTGCAAACAATCATGGCCAAATACTACAATAACTACAGGAATGTTACGTGACTCAGAAAATACATTAGACATTAACAGAAGTTAGCTTGGAGAACCCACTTATGGTATGAGTAGCAATTAATAGATGAAAATGCTGAAAATGAAACCCACTCTCGTAGGGGAAAAAATCAATGAACTTGATGACAAATTAACCTCTATCCTCTACTTATGTCTCTAGGAGAAAAAGAAAATCAATATGAATCAAGTATGCAGCGATTCTAAGAAATAGCATCAGAAACAAAAACTAAGATGAAGCATAAGTTTGGGGAAAAACAAATTTCTATAAAATAATCTTCTACATGAACTTCTTTCCGTAAAAAGCATCTTAAAATGCAGCCTGCCCAGATTAACTTTACCCAACCCCCTTTCATTTAATGCTTACTTTATGCCAGACATGTACTTACACATAAAAACTTACACAAATGTACAGGTGAAAACAGAATGGGGTTCCTCACTAAAGAAAGAAGTTTATCAAACTTCACAACTGAGAATAAAGATGAATTTACAATAAGAAAGAAGACCCTTCACTTTGGGCCAGGGCTAGAGAGCCCATGTATGTGTCTATGCAGGTGCTAGTTCTTATAGATGGCTGGTTCAAATGTTAGAATACCAAACTTGTCCCTTTGCAGGTCAGAATAGTTACCACGTAACCAATCCCAGAGGGAAAGGAGCAGCCTGGTATCCTTCTGGATCTTTCCAAGTCAGCTTCTCTCTGAGAACTGTCAATGTGTGTGGCCAATGGCTGGCTTGTCTGAGCCTCTAATGATGTTCACCACCCAGATGCCTATTTGCAAAGAATCTCTACTGAGTTTCTGTTGCTTTCTCACTTACTAACAAAGTAATATGATATCAGCAATGTATAAGCATTCTAGAAACTTTGCATTGAAGATATGTGTTGATGGTGTGACTTGCATACAGTACAGATTTCAAAATAGAAATGTCACAAAGCATCCAGCACTTCTAATAGTGATTTTTGTTTTCTATTTAATACTTTGGACTTTTGCTTGGTGCTCTTAAACATGATGTATGAACTCTTCTCCCAGACTGTAAGCTTCCTGGGGGCAGAATTGTGCCATAAATCTATGTACCTCTTCCAGTGATGTGCATACAAATCGTGCTCAATAAATTCCTGTTAGATGAAAGACTAATCACATTAGCAAGAGAAAAAGGAACTCTAAGGCACCCTGAGATTTACTGGCTAATGTATCATCAGGCTTAGAATCCTCCACAAAGGCATCCAAATGGAGAATAAAGATGTTGTACTGTAAGGAACAATAATTGTAGCAACAGAAATTTTTTTCTAAATATTTAAAAAGTTTGCAGGTCAACTTTAAAATATGTGCTTGTAGCTGAAAACAAAAGAATCCTTTAGTACAACTAATCTAAAAATGTTTTGTCAGAAATACCTTAATTGTATTAGTATTATTGATCAATGTTAAAGAATGTTTTTATAATTCTTGGTAAATATCACCAACTGCTTTTCAAATGGGTTTTTTGGTTTCTAAAGCCACCAGCAGGGATAAGAACCTGCCTTTCATAGTACATCTCCCCCTCCCCAACTCTGAGTAGTTTCTGGGTAGTAATCTTTTTTTTTTTTTTTTAAACTAACATATAAATAATGCTAGTTTGTCATCCTACTTATTTTCATTTCTTTGACTACTCCTGAGGCTGAACAAGTTCTTCTATTAATATCCTTTGCTCATTTTTATTCCTAGCGGTCATAGTGGTCTTCTTGCTAACTTACATAATTGTTATTACATAAAGGTAAAATATATTAACCCTTGCCTTTTTCCTTGTTGCATATTTCCCAGTCTATCTTTTGTTTGATTTTATATATATATCTATTTTTGGTGTTGGGGGAGATAGGGTCTTGCTCTGTCACCCAGGCTAGAGTGCAGTGGTGTGATCATAGCTCACAGCAACCTCAAACTCCTGGGCTCAAATGATCCTCCTGCCTCCGCCTCCTGAGTAGCTGGACTACAGGTGTGAGCCACCATGCCTGGCTAATTTTTCTATTTTTTTGAAGAGACAGGGTTTCACTCTTGCTCAGGCTGCTCTCAAACTCCTAGCCTCAAGTGATCCTTCTGCCTTTGCCTCCCAAAGTGCTAGGATTACAGGTGTGAGCCACCATTCCTGGCCTGATTATTTTTTTTTTATATGAAGGCATTTTAAATTATGTGCAGTAAAATCTCTCACTCTTCAATTATTCCCAAGTTTGGAAAGTTATACTTCCCCCAGAAGTTTGATAAATATTTATTTTTATGGTTTGATTTTTTAAATATAAGGTCTTAATCCAGTCAAAATGTGTTGGGATGTGTGTGTGAGATCAAGATCAAAATTATTTTTCTGCCAAATTGCTCACCAAGTAATCTAATACCACTTTTCCCCACCATTTGTACAGCCTGCCTACAACACTACTACTGACTTTTTGAAAGTTATTTGATATTCACCTTTGTTTATTTCTTCACATGAACTTTAAAACATTGCCCTTCCCTTTTCTCCCTATAAAAACAATCCCACTGGAATTTTGTTTGGGTACCGTTAATCTATAAATAAATTTGTGAAGAATTGATATCTTAAGATATTTTTAAAGTTTTCCAACATGGTATGCCTTTTCATGAATCAAAGGATTCATGGAAAGTATTTTAACTCTCTCGATAAAACTTTGGATTTTCTTTATAGAGGTCATACACTTTTCTCATAAAAATTTACTTCCAGGTACTTTATCTTTTTCTCACTGCTGCAGCTAAAATCTCTTTCTCATTATGTTTCCTAATTGCTTCTCAGTGGTATGTAGAAATGCTACTGATTTTCACAAAATGCATTTAGCTCTTAGCCAGACTTTTTTTTTTTTTTAAATCATGTGCCCTATCTTTTGTCAAGGAGTATTAGAAGAAACGTTTATGAGAAGAACATTTCTGTGTCATTTACAAAATTTATAGTCACCATGAATGTAGGTTTCTTTATCCCTGCCTTTGAAACACTGCCTTCTCTCCTACCCCACGGCTGGCGGGCAATTCCGGCTGTTGCCCACAGCTGTTAGGAATGCTCTTTCCTGCCTGCTGCTTGTGCCTTATAGAGTTTGGCCTCTCACCCATGTCCTCACAAGCTACTCCTCTTGTATTGGTGTCACCAGATGCCACTACTGAGAGACCCCTTGTCTCCATTTGCCCTGCTTGCCTGAGAGTCCTTCCAGACAGAATAAACCTGGCTCTCTTTCAGAGGTGAGGATCCAGAAGCAATAGCACATTGTGTTTCCCTTTTGTTTCCCCCTGAAATTCATGCTCAAATTGTGACTGTTTAGCTTACCCCACGTTCATCTCTCTTTTCTTGATGATCTTTCAATCTTATAAATGTTTTTCCATCACCCTGTTTTATATATGATTTACTATCATAAACCACCTCAAATATTTTCTTCAAATAAGATATAGTTAGCAAAAAGTACTATTAAATAAATCATAACATTTACACTAACTGGATGGACAGCTTTAAAAAAAGTATGAAGGAGTAGGAAAAGGGCACCTAAAAGTGTTACTATATGACCAATTTTCTATTCAGAAAACAAGAGAGAATACTTCCTGGTGTCTACGTGTGTCTATATATACATATGTGCATATATATGTACACACATATATGTAACTGTACAGGTTGGTATTCAAAACATACCTGTGTGCACAGATATTAAAATATTTTAAAACAATGCAGTACTCTAAGTTAATATATTAATAAATGTATACATACAATTTAAAAAATACATTCCCTTTTATTCTCTAATAAAATTGCTTTAAATGATATGAGTTACAGTGCAAATAATGTATCAGATAATTCTAATAGTTTCTAAATTGTTTGCTGACTTCCAGAAATTGTTAGTGTGATCTTTCGTGTGACCTCGATGTCACTAAATGATGTCCCCTTCTGAGCCATGATTTGGCAAGACAGCTGTATCAAATTCTTCCAACCACTTCCTCATTGAACGGATGGTCGTTAGTTTCCTGTAGCCAGAGACTTCGCTGCAGGCAGAGTGGCAAAGCCTGCCCCTGCTTGCACCGGCAGGCACCGCTCTGGCCCGAGGGGACTGGACCCAGACTGCCTTCACCATGACCTCTGCCCGCGACCTGCAACCTACTTGGAAAGCAGGGAACGGGAGGGAGGTGGGTCTCCCTGAATACCCCTGGCTAAACTCCGGGATCCGGTCCAAGGAAAGGGGTGCAAGCACCTGGAGATTCAAATTAGCGCTGATAGGACTGAGAACAATCCCTTCTGTAAGCAGAAAACGACCGCCAGGTGGCGCCAACAGCAGCAGACCTGGACACATTAGGATCTTGCAACCCTGGCTGTTAAAACCTCGGATGTTTAGATAACCTGGGTCTATATGACCTTACGTTTACACAGTTGATTTTTTTGGACTTTATCTTCTGTGTTATAGGTAGGAGAATTAAATCTCAGATCGTTATGAGGCTGTACCTCAATTTTTTCCCTTCCCATCAATATTTTATTTGGAAAATTCTGAAACCTAGAGAAAAGTTATGAGAATAGTACAATATGTAATGAACAACCATCATATTTTTCACCTGGATTCACCAATTCTTAACATTTTGCCACATTTTATTTCTTTCCTTTTTTTCTGTCTCTTCATATCTATGTGTACACTTTTTTTTCTGAGCCACTTGAGAATTAGTTTCATCATCCTGACTCTAAATCCCTAAATACTTCATTTGGCATGTGTCTCTTAAAAACAAGCACATTATTCTACATAACCACAATCACACTCAGAAATGTAACACGGTACAATAGTGTTATCTAATATATAGATATTAGTATTGAATTTCCTAAATTATCATGATGACACCATTTTTATATATAGTTTTAAATCTAGGATCAAAGATCATAGACTATAGTTGTCATGATTCTTGAGTCTCCTTAGTCTGGAGTGGTCCCTTAACCTTTTTTTAGGGGGAGCGTCTTTTATGAAATTGACATTTTTGGATAGTCCAGGCCAGTCTTTTGCATTTGTCTCATTCTTTTCTCATGATTAAATTTTGGTTAAACATTTTTGGCATGAATACCACAAAGGTGATGTTGCATTCTCTTAAAAACAGTTTTGAAAAGATTTAAGAAGCTGTATTTTAACAACATACTTTTTGTTCTAGAGAGAAAACCACTAATCACTGGCCCTTAAAGTAATTTTAAAACACATAAGCACACCTTATTGGTGTCTCCTGGTTTGTCCTTCTGATTCCATTTTAACAGGTATATCCCAGATAACGGAGAGACTATAAAACAAAAGGAAATTAATGCCATGGATACTGATAGACCCAAGTTCATAAGGGATTAAATCTAATTTAAGTTCCAATTAGTTTTATTAAATTCTGTTTCTGATGGACAACTGGGTTTTGTCCAGCAAACTTTCCTTCAAAGACCTGCCATTTCCCTCTTCATGTGACCTTGGAGGGTTGTCAGTAATGGGACTCAACTTCCCCACTGTGGTGACTGGTTCAAGGCCAGGAACAATGTGACTTGAATGGAGCCAGCCTCTTCCCTGGAGATTACACACGGATTCTGAAAAAGAAAGGCTATTTCTTCGTGAGATCGTGAGACAAATGATAACGTTGTCTGGAATCATTTGTGTTAAGCTTCCTGGTCTTATGGAGGGATCTCTGCAGAAGAGAATAGAATTTATACATACAAAATGAAGCTGTGGTGAGCTGAGATAAAAAGATCAGTGAAGAGAGATGGAGTTAGTGCACATGACAGTTTTTAATCCATGAATCTAGTGATGCCTGACATTAGTTAAATCACCTGTAAATTCTCTTTTTTTTTAACGTTTTAATCTAGTTTGAGTTGGATTTCTGTCTCTTGCAACTGAGTTTTGACCAACGTGCTAATGACTTAGAAACTTGGTCCGAATCCCTTTCTTTTTTTCTTTGCCATTGTGGAAGGCCAGACAATTTATGAAGGAGCCTCAGTTGCCCTGGCTATTGGTAAGGATAATAATACCTACTTTGGGGGTAGCTGTTGTGTAGATTACAATTAAGTAACCACTTCACAGAGCCTGGAACATACTAGGGAATTGATCAATGCTAGAAACATGGACAAAAGTCTTGGGTATCTGCCAGGATTCTGCTGTTTGCTCTGTGCCCTTGAATTTTTTCTCCCTCTGCCCAGACTAAATCAGACTTTGCTGAGAGCATTGCTTGGTCAGGTAGATGATCATTGCTCACTGTCAACATCTTGGTTATAGTCTCTCCATTTGTCCTATAAGCAACACGAATAGAGCATTAATATGTCTGGAGGGCATGCAGCATTTGTCTAGTTATTATTTTTCCAGGTGAGGGAGAAGCCTTGAGTAAAGCTAAGCAGAACTTAATTGCACTGGCATTTTTGGCAGCATGCGTTCCCAGCATGAGCTGAAGTGCAAGCTGGAGGTGGAGGTGGCAGAGAGAAAGAAACATTGGGGTCAGCGTGTTGATTTTTTGCAACCCATTTGTACCTGTTTTGGCCTCATTTGTGCTCTTTCTGCAATGGTTTTGAGGAAGAAGTTGGTTCTGCCAAAACGCACAATATCCTCATGTTTTCTGCTGTCAAAGGGGCCAGTAGCAAATAATCTTTCAGAAAAGCAAAATTCCCAGAGAAGAAATCATGAGGTTTGTGTTTGTACCTTGGCAACTCAAGCATATCACAGGATCCTAGAACGGCAACGACTATCACAATTGCTGCGTTGTTCTTGGCTCTTGTGCTAAGTACCTTAGCAGCATCAGAAAGTGGCTAACCCAGGTGGGAGCAAACAGGTATCCTGACTTACTTCAGGCCCAGGAGACTGCTGGAGGGCAACGCAGAATTGCTGGCCAGGGCAGGCTATCCCATGGCATGAGGTTGCACTGGCCCTGGACTTTCTGCCTACTCCTTGGTGTGTATAGACGGGGAGCAAGGCTGTAGCTGTGACCTCCCACACCCTAAAAATCTACCTTAAGTGGGGAAAAACTGCTGCACTTGCTTTGTGGAGGTCAACCAACCCAGTTTCCTTGACCCCTTTATGGATTGGAGTCAAGGGCTGGAAACAGGTGGTTTGACTGTACTGTGGTTCCCAGGGTCCTGGTTGAAGAATAGTCCCTTCTTCTACTGGGGTCCACTTATATATGCCAGGGACTGGCAGGAGCCTCTTTGCTTGAAGAGCCATTAGATCCTCTTAGAAGAGAATGTGTCCTAAAGACAGAGATCCAGGCACACAATTCAGTGCAACGACCAAGTCCAGGCAGTCTGAGGCCGAAGTGATTTGAGTACAGTGCAGCCCACTTCCCAGGCACCCCCATCAGAGTCCTAGAAGAGGAGCTAAAAGTAACAACTCAGAGCTACTTTTACACATCTGCCATCTGTGAGTATCTCGAGCACAAGTCAGCATTGCTTTGGGCCACACTTGGGGGAGGGCCCAAAATGGCACAGACAGAGCATTTTCTCATTCTAGCAGAGCAGCTCCAGGCATCATGGTGGGACTTCAGGGATCAATGCAGGGCACATTAAGGGGATGGCAGCAGTGGTGGCCACAGGGAGGGCCCTGAGTGCAGCCTCCGGGAGCAAAGACTCCAGCAGCTGCCATGGGCGACAGTGCCCCCTTGTGGGCACCAGAGGAAGTTTCGTGCTGGCTGAAGGTGAGTTGAGACCATGGCAAAGACCTAACTGGTGGGAGGGTCAGGTGGTAGCACAGAAGCCTCACTGGTAAGTTCCCATGAGCTCCCCTGTCCACAGCTTTCCAGAAATGATTGAGGGAAATGTTGAGACAGGATTCATGCCCTGTAGCCGTGAGGGAGTGCCGTGAGACATGTAGAGAAATATATCTCGTTCCTGTCAATGTAAGCCCATTGTCAGCCTTTTACCCCCAAGGAGGGTGGCCTGGGGTGCAGGGAGAAAGGGGACATGGGACATGAGCTACCTGTGGTTTCAAGTCTGCTTTCTTCAAGTGATAAACAGCTTGTGACACAGAACAGGGGAAATGAGAATTGACTCAGGGTTGTTTTACTTAATTGAGAAGCAGAATTTGGAGAAGCCTGATTTGGTGTCCTGGGACCCTGGACCAGCATGAAGGTATCACAAAGGGTCCTTGAATTCCCTGAGAGGACCTAGAGTCTAGAGTTAGCTTTAGAAATGTCTCAGGATTTGTAAGCAAAGATTCTGGGGAGAAGGTTTGAGCTGAAGTGTTAACAAGAAGGACGAACACAGCTAACTCCACATAAAGTTTCAGGCATTCATCTACTCACTAGCATCAATAGCAGGGCAGTTCCACGACTGACAACAAAGGGAAGTAAATGGGAGGGAATAATACTTAGGAAGCTATGATACAGGCTTTTCAGAAATACCACTTGTAGAAATATTGACTATACTGATTGTCCTTGTAAAATCTATTCTACTCTAGTGAGACTAATTTGTACACAGAAGGGTAGATCTGTAATATGATTGCTGATGCCATAAAGTCTAGTTTTTTGATTTGGTTCTCAGGAGGTTCCGTGTGGGACCATCCAAGGACATTTACATTGTAATCATGACCTTAGGAGATCACACCTCTCAGCTTTAGTTCTCTTGCAGGTAAAAGGTAGATAATATCTTGCTGAGTTCCTATTATTGTGTGCATGAAATAAACATCTCTAGGTTTCAGCATGGGTTATTAAGATAGTCTTATATAATATCTGTTGTGATCTGATTTCAACAAAGTCTGTATAAGCAAAAAAATGGCTCTAATAATCACGTGTTGTGAATTAAGCTGACCACTGACACTATAATGGCAGGCGTTGGCATTTAGAGTCTCAGGTCAGCACTGTTTGCTCTCACTTTTCTACTGGCTACAACTTTGGGGGTTGCCGAATATAAAGCTCAGCAACTCAAATCAGAATTATAGCGTAGTATTAAATAGTTTGAACTTTGGTCTATCTATCGAAGTGAGATGTTTTAATACCCTAGAGAAATAAGACCCAAGTACTTGAATTAAGCACAAAGCAATAAGGGGCTGTGATTATGCTTCAGCGAGCATTTCAGAAAAAAACAAAACCAGAAGAGGAAATGAACGTTAAGCTCCGGCTTCCCTGTTTGATTCGAGTTTCTACCTTTGATTACCCTATAAGACATTCTTGGTGACTGCACTTTCTGGCTCAGGCCCCACAAAACCTTAGATCCAGCTTTGGGTAGGCTATACAGAGCATCACAAAGGCACAGGATAAGACACTGGATCAGGCTAGAAAGACTTCCAGTAGGAGGTGATATTTAAAAATGAGAATTAAAGGATGATAAGGAGGTTAGCTCCACAAATAGAGCAGTATAACATTCTAGGCAAAGGGAACAGTCTGTGTGAATGAATGAATGAATGGAAATCCTTTGCCTAGAAATAAATTTGTCATCTAAATCCCGGTAGAGTTTATTCTAGTTAATGAATAATACTGATCCTTCTCCCACTGGAAATGTCACAGTGGCTAAGGGCAGGCCTTGTATGATTGGCAAGACCCTGTTTGAATCCTGGCTATGCTGGTTACTGATTGCTGGGTGACCTAGAGCTAGTTATTTCCCAGACCTTTCTAAGCCTCAGGTATCTTAGTTTAAAAATGAGGACATGAACATCCACCTCACAGGATTGTTGTAAAAATTAAATGAAAATTTGCAAGGCTCTTAGCACATCTTCAGTGTATGCAGTAAGTCCTGGATAAATGATCGCGTTAACTAACCATCTTCCATCAGCATCATGATCAGGTGATTTCTACCCAAGTAAAAGCAGTGACTTACTGTAACAGCCACTTGAACAACATTTAGCAAACACCAAGGTGAGCTAGGTAATCTCAGAAACAGAGATTTCCAAAAGAAATGCATAGTGATGTCATCTGAGAGCATTATTGGTCCAAACACTGGACTTACCCTATGAGACCAGGGACTGGTTTAGAGGGTCAGCCACCAAACCAACACAGGGAATTGTGTTCTACCCAGGCAGGATGAAGGAGCAGAATAGTTCATCTAGAAAGGAGTTCTAGGGGTTGCTGGCATTTATAAGAACTGACACCGTGGACTGTATTTTTTTTTCCCCTACAGGGAGAGTTGTTGTGGCATGTCTGAAAGAGACCAGTTAGAATACTGTCTCCAGAACTTACTGGCTCTATAACCTTGGATAAGTTATTGATATCTCTTGCGTTTCTTCATCTTTAAAATGGAGACACTCTACCTAACTCCCAAGGTTGTTGTGGGCATTAGACAAATGACTAATCAGAATCATTTGTCAAGTGACAGAATCACTATGATTAATGGTGTTGTTACCCAAAGGCATCCAATTCTTAGACAACTTGTTTTTCTCAGAGAGCAGAATGCCACCTACCTATAATAAATGTTTCAAGGAAGATGAATTATTAATTTATTATATACTGAGATTTGCAAGGAAGGAAGCTGGTTCCTTTAAAACAATCACATTGATTTGCTTAAATAGCAGAAACAGCACTCTCCCATCCTTATTTACAGACCCTGGACCCAGTTCAAGCACACAATGACACATTAGAGATGTACCTTCTGACCTGCTGACAAAATATGAGGGTCAAAAGATCAATTAAGTAACCTAACTTGTGAGTGGCAGGGAAAATATTTCAGTGAAAACATTGATCTTGATTCTGAAAGGCAAGACGACGGAGCTAAATCAGTTCATGTATTCACAGACCACAGCATCCTTTTCTGGTTTGTCTCCAAGCCCTGGGGGAATGTGACTGATGGAAGGAAAGCGGAACCCAACGGTGGGAAAAGAAGGGAAACACGTTATTTATTAAGCACTTATTCTGCCAGGCACCCTACCTGGCCGTTTCACACAAGTAGGTCACCGAATGTCTTTTAATCTCCGAGAACCTACAATTGCCCCACAGAATGGAAAAGGTGGGACCAGAGGCCAGTTTTACTGTGAAGCTTCAGCTTCAGGATTCTTCATCTGTATGTGTCCCTTCTAAATAAATACCCACTTTTATGCCTAAATTTGTATTTGTAATTTTGTATTATTCTTCTCAAAGCAGCCCTTCAGCTTGTATAGACTTCAGGACCCACCAAGCCTGGATTCAGCGCCCGGCAGGATACAGAGCACCCTGGTTGTGGAGGTGGTACATCTACACCAGCCAGGAAGGCTTCCAGGAGGTGGCACTTGAAGTGAGACTTAAGCAAGAGAAAGATTTCACTACAAAGAAGTGGAAGGTGGCAGGGGTTGGGGGCAAGGAGAACAGGGTGTGTGCAGGCCAGGGGCAGGGGTGGCTTAACACTCAGTGTATTCAGGAAGTAGTGATGTCACAGAGCTGGATGTGGAGACGTCCAAGTCGAGACAGGGCTGCTGCTGTGGGGGCCGGGGGCGGTGGGCCGGGGGTCGTGCCAATGAGGGGGGAGGGGCGGGAGGGATCCTGGGGCCAAGGTAGGAAGGGACGTTTGTGCTGAGCTTTACAGAACATTGACGTTTATCCTGCACGCTAGAAGGAACCACTGAAAAATGCTTAGGATTCTTTCTTTCAGGATTGTATTTTAGAAGCACTCTCCTGGTAGCAGGATGGAGGATGGCTTGGAGTTAGAGAGATCAACCATCTGGTTTACCCAAGACCATCCTGGGTTTAGCCCTGGACGTTCTGCATTCTGGGAAACTCATCAGTCCCAGGGAACCAGGACAGTTGATTGCCCTCCCTGGAGGAGGATGGGCCCAAAGCCAAGAGGACCCCTTTGAAGGTCGTCTCAGGAATCTCCCCTGAACTCCAGACTCTATGCATCCAATGGCCATTTGACTGCTCCACGTTGCTGTCTAATTGGCATCTCCAAGTCAATGTGTTTTAAACCTCAGGGCCTTTGCACTTGCTGTTCTCCCTGCTGGAAATCCTGTTCCCCAGAGTAGCTACATGGTCCACTCCTCCACCTCTGTCAGGCTTTTATTACAATCTTACCTCCTCAGCGAGGCCTTCCTTGAAACTCTCTTTATAATTGCAACCCCTCCCCCAATGTTTCCTATCCGTTTCCTTGCTTTGGTTTTGCTCTCAACACTTATTACCATCCAACATATTTAACATTTATATTTTTTATGTTCAGTTTTTCCCACTACAAAGAAACTTCACAGGGGCAGAAACTTTTGTTCATTTCCTTCACTGTGTTGAGGACAGTGTCTGGTATGCGGCACATGTCATTTTCCTGAATGAATCGAGTTATCCTTGCTTCCTCTCTATTCTCTCACACCCTGCAGACCGTTCACCAGCAAATTCTGTTGGCTCTCTGTTCAAAATAGACTCGGAAAACAACAGTTCCTACCATCTCCCCAATTCCCACCCTGGTCCAAGCTGCGCCCTCACTCACCTGGGTTATTGCAAGAGCGTCCCTGCCTGGGCTTCCTGTTTCCCACCTTTGCTTCCTGAAACGGCAGCCAGGGCGATCCTGTAAAGATGTACGTCAGATCATGTCACTCTCCCACTCATTATCCTGCCACTGACTTCCTATTTCACACACAGTGAAAGCCCATGTCCTTACAAGTCTCTTACAAGTCCCTCCTGATCTACTCTCCGCCCTCCCCACCGCCTATGCTCATGTCTCCAAGGTCACCTTCAGCAGCCTCCAGGCTCCCATTTCCTCCTCTACTCCGGCTGCACAGGCTTCCCTTGTGTGCTTCCAGCACTCCAGGCACTTTCTGCCCCAGCACCTTGTATCTGCCATTTCCCTCTGCCTGTCATATGCTTCCCAAGGTATTTGCATGGTCGACTCCCTCACTTCCTTCAGGTCTCAGCTCAAAAGTCTCCTTGTCAGAGAGTCTTCAACTCCCAAAGGCGAAACCCACCTTCACGCTGCTGAGTGCCTCTTGTTTCCTCTCTAGTGCTTGATTGCTCCTGCTTACATACGGTGAATCACTTCTCTTCTTCCCTCCCCACCCAACACCCTCTCCCACCCTCACCTACACATATTAGAGCAGGTGTCCTCAAACTATTTAGACAAGGGGCCAGTTCACTGTCCCTCAGACCGAGGGAGGGCCGTTGGAGAGAGCGGCGCACATTCCACACATGCGCACTGCGGCCCGGGACAAGTGGGCTGCTAAGCAGGACAGGCAGCGGCTGCAAAAACACCCAGTGGGCCAAGCCAGATAAATGTCCTCGGTAGGCTGCATGTGGCCCGTGGGCCGTAGTTTGAGGACCTCTGTTAGAGTATAAACTTCAACAGAGCAGGGACTTTGTTTATGATGACCCTTAGTGCCTAGGACAGTATCTGGCACGTTGGAGGTGTACAATAAATATTAGTGGAATGAATAAATGTCGAATGAAGCATTTATGCCAGAAATGATGAGGATATGAACTATAAGATGGGAGCAGATATAAGACTTACTAAGGAAGTACAAGCTACAGAGTTTGTTGGGGAAAAAAGTCAGAGCCCAGGCCCAATAAAAATAAATTAAAATGAATAGAAGAGCTTTCATTTCATTTGTTTTTTTTGTTGTTGTTGTTGTTTTTAAATAGAGCTAATGCTTTAGAAATCAATTTGCCTTCATTAGAAAAGGCAGAAACTTGTGAGGTTGCTATATGGAAAGAAAGGATCACCCTCCTCGCTGGTAAAGACAGTCAGGCAGACACACCGTTTAGGAAAAGCAGTCCTTTCTCTTCTCTCCACTTTCTACCCACCGTATGTACCAACCTTTGGGGAATGGAGAATTTTTCTGCTCAAACCCTCTTCCCAACTCTACGAGAAGCAGATCGCACAAAAGTTCCTTGTGGGAAGCCTGTTCGCTGCTGGAATGGGCTAAAGGACATTTTCCTTTTCACAAGGCTTGTTTTGTACTTTTAATTCATAAAGGATTTTTTCTCCTACTTATCACCTCCCACTGCTCCCTATTCATTCCTCTTGGACTTTCCACGTGCTTCTCTTTTCTTCTTGTTTACAACTCTCCGTGCTGCGCGGGCCACACTGGTCTCATTTAGTCTTCATGACTGCCCTGCGTGGTGCTGTTATTACCACTCCACAAAATGGGGAGACTGCTGCCTTCAGAGCTAAGTCATGTAGCGGACGCTGTCAGGACTCCTCCCGAGTCCCGCAGGACCTCACCAGTGCGGTGGGCACGGCTGACTTCCTGCTGCCAGGACACGTGTCTCTTTGCCTAAGGGCCCTCCCTGGCCACCAGAGCAGGTTGGAAGTGCTGGGCCATCAACGCCCACTTCCTGCCTCTGCACACGCCTCAGCAACCTGTAACCAATGGCTGATGGGAGTTGGTGCATAAATACCTCAGCCCCCTTCCGGCTTGGGTGGGAGAGTACTGAGGTGCGTTTTCCACACTGGCACCTAGATATCCCTTCCTAGAGGGATTCTGCCTCAGTGGCCCACAAGTAACTGGGTTGATAATGAACCTTCTATTGGTTGTCTTCTTACTTCCCCTACTGTTCCCTGGAATCACCTTCTAAAGAAATGCTTGCACTTGAATCTTCATCTCAGGGTCTGCTTCTAGGGGAACCACACTGAGATAAATCTTTGCCTATGATTGCATAGCTACCAGAGCTGAGCTGCAGACTCAAGTTGCCAGACTCCAGATCCTGTGTACTTAATCACAATGTTCTAATCCCTTCCTTCTCTTTATTAATTTGTGTTTTTCTTTATCCCTCATAGTGGTGATAACTTTTTTCCTAATGTTGTCAAATGATAGTAAAAAATGGTTGCTGTGCTTAAAGATTTTAAAAGATGGGTACAAAAACATAGAATGAATAATATTTAGTAGCACAACAAAGTGACTGTAATAAATAATAAGTTAGGATACACTTTATTTTTATTTTTTGAGATAGAATCTCAGTCTGTAGCCCAGGCTGGAGTGCAGTGGCATCACTATAGTTCATAGCAATCTCAAACTCCTGGGCTTAGGTGATCTTCCTGCCTCAGCCTCCTGAGTAGTTGGGACTGCAGGCACATACCACTATGCCCAGCTAACTTTTTCTATTTCTAATTGTCCAGCTATTTTTTTTCTATTTTTAGTAGAAATGCTCAGGCTGGTCTTGCTCAGGCTGGTCTTGAACTCCTGAGCTCAAGCAATTCTTCTGTGTTGGCCTCCCAGAGTGCTAGGATTACAGGCATGAGCTACAGCACCCAGCAAGGGTATACTTTTATATAAGTAAAAGAATGGGAAAAATAATTTTTTTTAAAATCTATCCTGATAATCCAATTGAATAATGCTAGCAATTTCTTCAGGTTGAAAATTTAGTTCATAATGACAGATTGATCATAGCTGTGAAAGGACATGTTTCCACAAGTCTGCAACCTAGCGGGGACACCATGTGAAATGAGTCACAACAGGAAGAGGGGCCAATGTGGATAGATGATGTTGGGGATCCTTTGCTAAGTTAAAAATGAATTAACTTTGGGGGGGGGCATGCTTAGGTAGATTATAAAACTGAGAGAGAAGCAGGACAGTCAAGCCCCAGCAAGAACAGAACCCAGGGCAGCTTTGAGGAACCAGGGACCAGAAACGAATAGGCGATCGTTTCAGGGTGCCGTAGTCAGGTTGATTCAGTGTCAGTCATTTTCCACCTTGGTGAACAGTCCAATTCCAAGGGACAGGAAGGGTGTGGCTGGCTGAGCTGTGACAGGGCACAGAGGAGCACCTGGATTAACGCAAGCAATGATGGATGCTTTTCCCAAAAACAAATCATCTTGCTGCTTCTAAAAGAAGTGGGATTCTGGGCAGTCAAAATAACAAATGTCATTGAGAATGAGAAAGAAATATGCCTGCTCAGTAAAGAAAAGGCAGGAGAAGGGGAAATGGGTAGCACCCAGAGGAGACACACAAGGCATTCTGCAAAGATAAAGAATGACAGATCTTCCCAGCTGCCTGTGGGGGCCATGCAGTCTGCTTTGCTACTTTTTGACATAATCACCTGCTGTTCTCCCTTGTGTTCATTCTGCTGCAGACACGCTGGTAACCTCATGTTCTTCTATCATACCAGGTACCCAAGAGCCTCAGTACATTAATACTTGCTGTTTCCATTTCTAGAATAATCTTTCTTTCTTTCTTTCTTTCTTTCTTTCTTTCTTTCTTTCTTTCTCTCTCTCTCTCTCTCTCTCTCTCTCTCTCTCTCTCTTTCTTTCTATTAAGCCTGTGGTTGAATGGAATAATCTTCCCTCAGATATCAGCACGACTATTCCCTTATTTCCTCAGGTCTTTCTTCAGTTTCACCTTCCAAGAGATACCTTCACTGACCCCTTGGTCCCTATACGGGTGATGTTTAGGGAGTGTCCTTAAAAAAAATAGGTGTGCTCCTGTTTGTGCCTTCCTCCTTGCTGTACTGGGTACAGGACTGGGCTGCTCCAGCAGCCATTTGGGACCATAAGGGTTGATGCCATGTGCTGGGTTGGCCGTCGCCCTTGCTGAGCTGCTTCTCCTAAATTTACCAGTCATGTAAGCCGCTCCTCCTCCCTTGGCGATCACAGAAAAGCCAGGAGTGTTACTCTGACAGACGATCCATTTTCAGAGAGACCTCAGTAGCAACGAATACTTCTGGCCTAAAAGGGTTTCTTCAAAGGCTCCTCCTGCTGACAAAATACAGAGAGAGAGAGAATGCCACCGCTGGAGCTGAGGGAATGACATTCTGCAGAGAGAAGCAGGGCCAGAGCACTTGGGTTTGAGAGAGAGAAAGCTCTACTGTCACAGATGCACAGCCAGCATCTTGCAGGGCGTGTGGGAGGGACTCAGTGCTTCCCACCGGATAGACAGATAAAGACTCAGAGTTCAGGGAGAGCTCTACTTGGCCCACGTGCTGGAGGGAAGGTTAAGACTCTTGAATGAAGTGTCTGTGGTGACAAGAGCAATGTGGGACACACAGCTGAGGATCTGGACAAAACCTGCTCCGAGAAAGTTCTCTTACCACATCCTTAGGGGGGAAGGGCTGGAAACTCTTATCAGAACCCACTGTGCATCCTTTGTAGAGTGTGGATAGTGAGTTTGTGCTGCAACTATAAATAGTTCATCTCACAGATTAGGATCCGTTACTCTTAATAAATCACTTTGTGAACTACACAAATTCTTGAGCTAAAGAAGCTCTTCAGCTTTGTTGGACACAGAATCTCAACCTAGAGGACCCTGTGAGAGAAAAAGAGTCAATGTTCTCTATGGGAGCAAAACAAGGCCCTAAGCCCCGGCTCAGAATCCTATTCTATCTCAAGTGAGGGCTCATCCTGTCTGTCTACACAGGACATTTCGCCCTAGCTCTGTTCACCGTCACATCCACCTCGTTTGTTTCGAATCTGTTTTATTACTCCCAAGGTTGAATTGCAAAGCACATGCTCCTCTGTGCAGATTCTCTTTGTTTTCTTGTGGCAGCGCAGTGCTTCCCAATGACAGACTGTGGATGTCTTACCTGGAAGTATAGGAGGGCGAAGGTGTAATACTCATTAGGTCACGGACGAGCTTCCAAGGGTCCATGAACTCCTCACTTTAGTGGATCATGTCACCGTGTTCAGTTTTCTGGGCATTGGGCCTATGAGATTCTAAAAGGACTCTGTGATTTCCCTCAGATATTAAGATCTGTTGAATTTGTCCCTACTTTTTGGAAATTTTAAACATTTAACTTTAAAATGTGTCCTCCGTTCCCCCTGGCATTTTGCTTTACACTTGGAAATGCAGACTTGTCATCCTTTCTTCCCCATTCTCTCAACATGATCTTCCTATGACTTATCATCATTATTTTTTTTAAATTCTGGACTTTTCAGAGAAAACTCTTTGGGAAATAAAGAAATGGATATATGGATAGTGTTGAAACTAATATTTCTAATCTGGGTGTAGGGCATTTAGAATAAAAATATTTAAGTATTAATGAGAAGCAACTAAGATGAATTTTAATTAGTAAAAATATGGAACACCAGTGAATCCAAAAATCAATATGTAGATAG